CCCCATTGTCCCCATCTCCTGCCCCCCTCCCCAATTGTCCCCATCTCCTGACCCCCCCCACTTTGTCCCCCATCTCCCCAGGAGTGCGGTGGCCTTGGGGACATGCCCGGTTCCTTCGTACCTACGGTGACGGCCATCACCACCAGCCAGGACCTTCAGTGGTTGGTCCAACCCACCCTCATCTCCTCGGTGGCCCAATCACAACCTCCAGGAGCAGCACCCATGGCTCATCCTCAACCCAACCCCCCAGTAGATCCCTACGACCTTCCAGGACCAAGTTACTCCACACCAGGGATGGGTGGTGGCTTCACCACGGCTTCGGCGGCGGCCCCACCAACGCGTCCTACACGTGCCCGAGCGCGGCGGAGCCGGGAGGAGACGGGGAGGGGTGGGGCCTTGGGTAGATGGGATGTAAGATGGTGGTGGGATCTTGAGGACATTGGTTGGCTGATGGTCTTGTTCTTCTGGTGGTTGACACCAGAGGAACATTGGGTAGATGGGATGTAAGATGGTGGTGGGATCTTGAGGACATTGGTTGGCTGATGGTCTTGTTCTTCTGGTGGTTGACACCAGAGGAACATTGGGTAGATGGGATGTAAGATGGTGGTGGGATCTTGAGGACATTGGTTGGCTGATGGTCTTGTTCTTCTGGTGGTTGACACCAGAGGAAGAGTTGGGTAGATGGGTTGTAGGATGGTGGTGGCATCTTGGGGACGTTGGTTGACTAATAGTCTTGTTCTTCTGGTGGTTGACACCAGAGGAAGAGGAGAAACATCTGGTAGATGGGATGTAAGAGGGTGGTGGGATCTTGAGGACATTGATTGGTTGATGGGCTTGTTCTTCTGGTGGTTGACACCAGAGGAAGAGTTGGGTGGATGGGATGTAAGAGGATGGTGGCATCTTGGGGACATTGGTTGGCTGATGGGCTTGTTCTTCTGGCAGTTGACACCAGAGGAGGAGGAGAAACGTCGGGTGAGACGAGAAAGGAACAAGTTGGCGGCGGCCAAATGTCGGAACCGGCGCCGGGAGTTGACCGACCGGTTGCAGGCGGTGAGTGTTTGGGGACACGGTGGTGGTGGTGTCACCACCACAGCTGGAGGTGGCCCAAGGGGGGACAGTGGTGACAAGGTGGGTGGTGGTGGAGGAATGGTAATGTCACCAAAGGGGTTGGAGATGTTATGGGGTTGGTGTTGATGGGAGAAGGTCCTCAGGGATGTTTGGTGTCCCCAAGGTCATGGGGACATTGTGAGGGGACAGTTGACTTGGTCTTGATGGAAGGGGACAGGTCAATGCCAGTGAGAGCAGATGGGGACAGTGGTGTCCCCAAGGTCATGGGGACAGTTGACTTGGTCTTGATGGAAGGGGACAAGTTGATGGCTGTGAGAGCAGATGGGGACATCAGATGGGGACAGTGGTGTCCCCAAGGTCATGGGGACAGTTGACTTGGTCTTGATGGAAGGGGACAAGTTGATGGCTGTGAGAGCAGATGGGGACATCAGATGGGGACAGTGGTGTCCCCAAGACCAAGGGACACTGGAAGGGGATGTCCAAGTCAATGGCTGTGAGAGCAGATGGGGACATCAGATGGGGACAGTGGTGTCCCCAAGACCAAGGGACACTGGGTTGGTGTCAATGGGAGAAGGTCCTTGGTGATATTTGGTGTCCCCAAGGTCATGCCCCAAGGTCATGGGGACAGTTGACTTGGTCTTGATGGAAGGGGACAAGTCGATGGCTGTGAGAGCAGATGGGGACGTCAGATGGGGACAGTGGTGTCCCCAAGACCAAGGGACACTGGGTTGGTGTCAATGGGAGAAGGTCCTTGGTGATATTTGGTGTCCCCAAGGTCATGGGGATGTTGTGAGGGGACAGTTGACTTGGTCTTGTTGGAAGGGGACAAGTCAATGGCTGTGAGAGCAGATGGGGACATCAGATGGGGACAGTGGTGTCCCCAAGACCAAGGGACACTGGAAGGGGATGTCATGAGGTTGGTGTCGATGGGAGAAGGTCTTCAAGGATGTTTGGTGTCCCCCAAGGTCATGGGGACATCACAAGGGGACAGTTGACTTGGTCTTCATGGAAGGGGACAGGTCAATGCCAGTGAGAGCAGATGGGGACATCAGATGGGGACAGTGGTGTCCCCAAGACCAAGGGACACTGTAAGGGGACGTTGATGTCCCTAAGAGCTGAGGACATCAGAGGGGAAGATGGTAGAGGGACAATGTTGTCCCCAGGAGAAGGGGACATTGGAGGAGGATAGAAGGACACTCAGGGATGCTGGAGGAGGACAATGCCATCTCCAGGAGAAGGGGACATGGGAGAAGGACTCATGGGATGCTGGAGAGGGGACAATGTTGTCCCCAAGAGCAGGGGACATCAGATGGTCACCCAGGGATGCTGGAGAGGGACAATGTTGTCCCCAAGAGCTGGAGACATTGGAGAGGGACAGATGGAGACACAGGGATGGTGGAGAGGGACAATGTTGTCCCCATGAACAGGGAACATCAGATGGAGACCCAGGGATGCTGGAGGAAGGAACAACCTCATCCTGGAGACCACAAGAGGTTGATGTCCCCAAGATCAGTGTAGGTGATGGTGGAGGTGATGGTGGTGATGGTGATGATGGGGGTGGTGGAGATGATGGGGGTGGTGATGATGGAGGTGATGGAGATGATGATGGTGATGATGATGGTGATGGTGATGATGGTGGTGATGATGGAGGTGATGGAGATGATGGAGGTGATGGAGATGATGGAGGTGGTGATGATGGAGGTGGTGATGATGGTAGAGATGATGATGGAGGTGATGGAGATGATGGAGATGGTGATGGTGAGGACCATCGCTCTGCTCCACCACAACCCATCAATCTCATCCCACCCTTCACCCATTTTGATGATGGAGATGGAGGTGGTGATGGAGATGATGATGGAGATGATGGAGGTGATGGAGATGATGGAGGTGATGGAGATGATGATGGAGGTGGTGATGATGGTGGTGGTGATGGAGGTGGTGATGGTGATGATGGAGGTGGTGGAGATGATGGAGGTGGTGATGGAGATGATGGAGGTGATGATGATGGAGATGATGATGGAGGTGATGGAGATGATCGAGGTGGTGATGATGGAGGTGATGGAGGTGGTGATGATGATGGAGGTGGTGATGATGGTAGAGATGATGATGGAGGTGATGGAGATGATGGAGATGATGATGGTGAGGACCATCGCTCTGTCCTACCACAACCCATCAATCTCATCCCACCCTTCACCCATTATATTTTTCCCCCCCCAACCAGGAGACGGATCAACTGGAAGAAGAAAAAGCCGAGTTGGAATCGGAGATCGCAGAACTCCAGAAGGAGAAGGAACGTCTGGAGTTCGTTTTGGTGGCCCACGCTCCAGCTTGTAAACACCCTTATGAAGATATCGGTTCCTTGGGTGCCGGTCCCACCGTTGAGGTGAGCACCTTGGGAAAGGAGGAAGAACCGGAGGAGAACATCTCCTTCTTACCCTCCTTAAATTCATTTCAACCAAGCGCCCAGGACCCTTTCCCCAGCTGCTACTTCATCCCTGGGGTCCCACCACCGGGACCACCTAACCCATCCTATACGTCTTCGTTTGTGTTCACCCACCCAGAGGGAACCACCTGTGGAGCTTCACATCAGCGGAGCAGCAGCAGCGACCAGTCCTCGGACTCCTTGAATTCACCCTCGCTCCTCGCGTTGTGAACGGGGTCCCCTCCTCCTCCTCCTCCTCCTCCTCATCCTCCTTCTCCTCCTCCTTCTTCATCCTCTTCCTCACCCCCATAAAAAACATCTCCAGACCACCCCACCCCAAAAATATGGACACCTCCTAAAATATGGACACCTCCTTCTAGCCCCTGGGTGGTGGATTGAGGTTCTTTGGTGGGTTCTTGAGGGGTTTTGGTGGATTTTGAGGAGTTTTGATGAAATTTTGAGGGTTTTTGATAAAATTTTGAGGAGTTTTTGATAAAATTTTGAGGGTTTTTGATGAAATTTTGAGGGTTTTTGATAAAATTTTGAGGGTTTTTGATAAAATTTTGAGGGTTTTTGGTGGATTTTGAGGAGTTTTGATGGATTTTTGGTGGTTTTTTTGGTTGATTTTTGGTGTTTTTTGGTGGGTTTTTGGTGGATCTTGAGGGGTTTTGGTGGGTTTTGAGGGGTTTTGGTAATTTTTTGAGGGTTTTCGGTGGATTTTGAGGAGTTTTCATGAAATTTTGAGGGTTTTTGGTAAATTTTTGAGGGTTTTTGGTGGTTTTTTGGTGGATCTTGGTGGACTTCTGGTGGATTTTGGGGGGTTTTGGTGGGTTTTGAGGGTTTTTGATGGATTTTGAGGAGTTTTGATGAAATTTTCAGGGTTTTTGGTAAATTTTTGAGGGTTTTTGATAAATTTTTGAGGTTTTTTGAGGGGTTTTTTGGTAAATTTTTGAGGTTCTTTGGGGTCTTTGGATTTCGAGGGTTTTTGATGAATTTTTGAGGGTTTTCTGGGGGTTTCTGGTGGATTTTGAGGGGTTTTGGTGGATTTTGCAGAGTTTTGATAAAATTTTGAGGGATTTTGGTAAAATTTGAGGTTTTTTGGTGGATTTTTGGTGGATTTTGAGGGTTTTTGATTGATTTTTAGGAGTTTTGATAAAATTTTGAGGTTTTTTGGAAAATTTTTGAGGCTTTTTGGTGGATTTTTGAGTTTTTTTGAGGGTTTTTGGTGGATTTTGAGGAGTTTTGATAAAATTTTGAGGTTTTTTGGAAAATTTTTGAGGCTTTTTGGTGGATTTTTGAGTTTTTTTGAGGGTTTTTGGTGGATTTTGAGGAGTTTTGGTGGATTTTTGAGTTTTTTGAGGGTTTTTGGTGGATTTTTGGTGGATTTGGGGGTTTTTGGTGGATTTTGAGGGGTTTTGGTAAATTTTTGAGGTTTTTGGGGAGGTTTTGATGGATTTGGGGAGTTTTTTGAGGATTTTTGGTGGATTTTGAGGGTTTTTGATTAATTTTTTGGTGGGTTTTTGGTGGATTTTGGTGTTTTTTTGGTGGATTTTGAGGGTTTTTG